AAGGATGGCCTTGGTGCCTTCAGCATATCGAATCTGAGCATCGATTGTTGAGCCAGACATATGAGGCACCATCGCGTTACCACCGCCCCATGGACCCTGGACGTATCGCAGTGGGTGATCCTTTGGAGCTGGCTGAGGGAACCAAACATCACCACCATATCCACGGAGGTGGCCAGACTTGACAGCTTCAGCCACATCTTCTTTGACGACGATAGCGCCACGGGCAGTGTTGATGAGCCAAGAACCTAGAAAACTGTTAGCATCCAAGGTAAAGCAAAACTAAAACTACATGGGGTGATGTAAACACTTGTTGACAACTTACCCTTCTTCATTTTGGAGATCAGCTCCTTGTTGAAGAGACCTCGCGTCTTCTCATGTAGTGGGCAATTGATGGTGACGATATCGCATTGTCCAAGCATCTCCTCAAGATTCTCAACCCGACGGCAACCAATCTCCTTCTCAACCTCTGGTTTCAGTGGTTGGTAGTCGTAGTAGAGCAGCTCCTTGCAGTCGAATGGCTTGAGACGACGAAGAACACGCTCTCCGATACGGCCGACAGCGACTGTGCCAACAACCTTGTCTTCAAGATCATAAGAGTTCTTAGCAACGGCTGCCACGTCCCATTCTCCACATGTGACTTGTTGGTGTGCCGGCACAAAGTTACGGACAAGGAGAAGGATGGTCATGACGACGTGTTCCGCCACAGACACGACATTGCAACCAGTCACCTCTGCAACCGTGATGCCGCCGTTGGTCTTGTTGGCGACATCTAGGTCAACGTGGTCTGAGCCTACACCGGCAGTGATGGCAAGCTTGAGCTTCTTAGCTTTGGCGAGGCGTTCCTTGGTGAGGTAACCTGGGTGAAAGCTGAAGATTGTACAATGTTAGATTGAGATTCTTGGCTAATTATCACATTGGTAGAGAACATACGGGGTAGTGATGATAATTTCGGCGTCAACGAGCTCACGGTCGAAAGTCGAGTTCTCTCCCTCCTTGTCAGAGGTTGTAACCAAGGTATGACCCTTGTCTTCAAGATACTTCCTCAGGCCGAGCTCGTTCTCTGTCGTCCCGAGCAAGCCGGGCTGGTCTTTGGCATGCTGGCCACCCTGAAGAAGAGTTAGTTATGCCCATAATCAATAGCAGAGGTTGGGAGAGTCTTACATCATAGAGTACGAGAAGGACCTTGACCTATAATTTTGAAGCTGTCAGCACATGAACTCCAGTCAACAGTGAGAAAGCAAGAAGAGGATTTATCTAATGATATTCCCTGAGAGACAGATACCAAAGTATGAGCTGAACAAGGCACCTACTATTGTGTCTGAGTGGTTGAGTGATGATTGTCGTCTTGAATTGGGCTTTAGCAATGATGATCTGACGGTAGATGTCAGCAAAGGAACAGCCTTGAATGTTTTTTTCGGGAAGATAAGCACCCGGTTTGCCATCGAGAGCTATCACCTACCTAGAAAAGCTTCTTAAGGCCTTTGACCTAGGACAGAGCAATTAACTGTGATGAGAAGAGAAGCAAAAGACAACCATCTACGAGGCGGACGAGGTCAGGTTTATATGGACCTGAGGTCCCTCCCATTGCTCCAGCGGCGTTGCCCCTCTAACTCCTCCCTACTCTCTCGTTAATCGTCTCTTGCTCGTGCTCGAGTAACACTCTACTATGCTTCTGCGTGCGGGGTCTGCATGATGGATGCCCACCACCATGAGGCCGATTAGGATCCGTACACCCATCCCACCTCTGTGTCTACCTGGTAAGTACCTAGGCACCGGCTCAAAGTACCGAAGAGCTGTATACATGTTCCTTTCCACCTCGCCGGCCCCTGTCGACTTTCCATATTTCTTCTTCTTCTTTTTCTTCTTCTTCTTCGTTGCGATCGACTAGCTCGGAGAAGGGATTTTACCCCTCATCTGCTCGCGTGATGATGATGTAATGAGGGGTAATTTCATCTTTCTCCAATTCTACCCCAATAAAAGTAAACAAATGCTGACGTAATAACTATGCGGCACAGCAGATGATCGAGAGAAAGATGAGGCAATGATTGATATTATTGATAGGGCCGCCAGCTGTTGTTGCTGCTAAGTATATTGGACCAAGGAGAAGATGCTACTTTCAAGAGGATGGTTCATTATATGGTTGGACAATGCGCTATTCTGTCTATTTTTACCTCCAGGGGTCAAGGACAGGCTGTGTCGGAGAATATCCACTTTAACAACTTAGCGCCAGCGTCAGGGATAGTCGGCTACAATAATGGTAGTGACAGCACAATACTTATGAATTCAATTCACTAGACGGGGCTGGAGGACAGATAACATCAAGATGAGAGGAAGCTGCAAAGTGGGCGCTGCCATAGGTATAGCTATACTGGCTCCGTTTTCGCTTGCGCAATTAATATATATCAAGCATATATCGGGGGGCGGGGGGAGGGGGCAACTCTGCTTCAGCTTACAATAGGTCGAATTTTTGACCCGACACTGTGGAGGAAAATATGAATGGCCGGACGTGACTATGGCCTATCGGCGTGGCAAAACATGGCGAGTGACCTTTATGATAGCCACGTCTATAGCTTCTCCCAAGATGCCCTCATATTCAATCACATGAAAAGTTGGGTAGTGTCTATGATACCAAATACAAATATAATATTCCAATATTCATTCTCAGTTTTATAAGGGGCACTAGAAATGAAGGTACAAAGCATGCTATCCTTATTCTGTTAAAAGTCTAGGAACTTTATAAAAATGATTCACTATATCTCCTTTTCTCATTTTTAGCGTGGATGCTATCTACACCTCTAACCTATGATTCCTCTTCACTAACGCGAATAAAGATCTCAAATAGCCATTGCTGAGCTCTCTATATATAGTTTCAGGTAGTTTCACAGTTAATAGCCCAGGGAACAGGAGTGCGGGAGCAGGTCTGTAGAGAGAGGATGTCTAGAAATTCCAAGAGGAGACGCTATAGGGTAGAGGGCTTTAGGGACACTTCTATTCCATTAAATTCCATTAATAATGGCCACAGTTGTTGTAGATTATCTAGGAAGATATAGCTGTAAATATTAGTCTCACTGTGAACTTCAGTCTTCTAGTTTGGATAGCTTTTCATGTCCTTAGATAGCTAGCAATAGCGCAATATGGTTGATGTGGCTTGATCGGAGATTGTATACCACAAGAAGCTATAGGATAAAGGTGGAACTGTATACAAGGTGAAAGAAGGAAGAAGGGAGCTTTAGGGTGATGGTCATAACCTTACAGAAGAGGTATTGCACTCTTTTTATAGGGGGGGAAAAAAAACGTGAATATAGACTGAGGCTGATGTAACCGTTTGTGCATTCCGGCTGTGTTATTGGACTTAGATAGAAGAAGCCGAAGGTTCCAGACTAGTGAGCCAGCATTCTCTGAGGCATCGAGCATTTTCCAAGCAAGAAAAGGTAGGGGGAAGAAAAACCATTGTAACTAGCTAGACGCGCCAGAGATGAATATGCAGTGTCAATTATATTATACAGCCAGTTTCCAGAGGGTATAAAAAGTCCAAATGAATATAATCTCTATAATCAAAAGTCCAAAAATAAAAGTAACAAGGCTCCAAAGCTCCAAGCTTGATGAAGATCCAAATGTCCACAGCAGCAAGAGAAAAGGCAGAGAAAAAGAGCCGAAAAAAAAGGGATAGAAGTAGATAGCGTCATATCCGCCTAGTTCCTGGGGTATCTTCCCCATCGCTGTCTGGTATGAAGCCATCCTCCAGCTCCCGGGCGAGCCGTGCCTCTCTCCGCTCCTGGTCCAGGGCCTCCCGCCTCGACTCGCTCAGCTCATAGCCGTCTTCACCGTCATCGTCGAACAAGCTGTCTGAATCCTGTTCATTGGCTAGGCTTCTGTGTCTCCATGACGAAGGTAGGGTGATGTTCATGAGGGCGTCGAACGTCCTGTCTCTCAGCGAGGTCGTATGCACCGATATGGTATGCAAGGGGAGGTACTGGGAGTATCGCTGCCGGTGCAGCCGGATGAAGGGGGCTATGACAAAGGATATGGTCAGGTAGAGGACCAGGGATATCAGCGCCGGAATGAACAGTGTCTATAGTAGCTGAGTGTTAGCCTGCTAGTCAACTCGCGGGGTCTCTGTTAGTAGTTAGCTGACCTTGATGACACCGGTAGCTCCTCCCATCGTAACCAGCAGAGCTACCAGCGGGTCATCTACAGCGCCCGTCGTCTCTTCTCACGCTGTCTGCTCTGCTTCTGCCTTCTTCTTCTTCTTCTCTGCTGCGTCTGCCTCGCCGTCTCGTCATCTGCCCTCCTGTCGATGGCTTGCATGAGGCTTGCGCAGTGCCTTGACCACGTGACCCCCTAGCCGCTTCTGGATGCGCCTCTTTTTGTCGCTTCGTCACTTTTGCCGCTCCGTCGACTTTTCTTCCCCCTGAACGGCTTTCACGGCGCTTGTGAGAGATACAGACGCTGGATCCGTGACTGTCAGACACCGCGCGATGGAATTAGAGCACCGGAGCCCGCATCACATAGCAACCTGGAGCCTGCCGACCCTGTTTTCCTGCGCCGCCCTGACCGTCGAGACAGCCGAGCCAGAGCTGCAGGCTTAACACACCCAGCTATTTACGTCGCTATCCACATGAAAGAGGATGACCGGCCGCATCTGGAGGAGGATACAGTGATCGCCTAGCCCGTCATCCCGTCACTGCAGACCGCGCGAGAGAGACAGCAAAAAACCTGTCTTCGTCTTTCCCATGCGTTGCCTGGACGGTGTCAGGTGCATAGTCCAGAAAAGCCACTCACAGAAATAACTACAAAATAACTAGCTAGTTAACTACTAAATAACCGACCGATTTCACTCCCTTCCCCTCTCCTCTCTTCCCTATCCCTCGTTCGCTCTCATAGAAATTACCAGCACGACCGATCGATCCCCCAGATTTGTTCCTATTTCCCCTTACCACCAGATACTTGGGCAGGCCGGTAGGCTGTGGCCAGCTTCATGGTTTACCAGAGACGCCGTCATGACATCAGATAAACCGTCAAAATCATTTTTCGGAAGGAAACTACACAAGGAACGCCAGCCCGATCTGCGCGCTGAGACGCCCGAATCGTTTGGTGCGGCTAGCAGTGGATCGGGATCGCGCTCATCGAGATATTCGAAGCGAGAGTCCGGCCTATCTGTCGATTTAACCGGCGATACGGAATATCTCTCAGGTGTGATAGGATCCATCCCGTATGACAGCGTACCTGTGCGAAAGGAGCCAACCCCTTCCAAAATGGGTAAACCAAACGACTACCACCAATATCCCCAGTTTCAGGGGCATCAGCCTGCGAACGGCGCAATGCACCTGTCTGGACCCCGGCCCCCGCCAGGATCCTCAGGCACCACCGCCTCATACTACTCTCAAAGCGACAAGGGGGTGAAATATCAAGCGTGGAACGGCCACAACGCCTACCCGACCACAGAATCCTCTAACCCTCGAACCTCCATGGACCAGAACAGCATCTACTCCGCGATCTCGTCCGCTCCTCGTGGCTCGACTCATACTATCAGCACAGACAATGCGTCCCGTTATAACTACCCCACACATTCTCAAGATCCCCGGAATCAGCCGTCCAGCTCATCGGGAAGCCGTCCTTCTACCTCGTCACGATCTGACTGGCTTCCTCCTCAACTACCCATTGTGTTTGGTACTTTGCCAATCTCGGCGGATGGAACGATCCAGAGACCCAAGGATGACGCTGTCGTGGACCAGATGTTCTATGAGCTCATGATCAAACGAGGGTGGCAGAATCTCCCCGAACAGGCCAAGAGACAGATGTTGGCCTACCCGACGTCGAAAAAATGGACTTTGGTTCATCAAGATCGCCTGACGCAGTGGCAAGGGGAGCAAAAGCGGCGCCAACAGAATAGGCAAACCGGCTCTGGAGATGGAGGCAAGGGTCTCCTTGGACGAGCCGATGAAGAAGGCAGCCCTGAGTGGTATGTTAAGAAGGTCATGGATGACTCCATCACAGCAAAGGAGTTGGGGAGTTTAAGCGTAAGCTTACGAACACAACCAATAAGGTAAATCGATCATACTAAATAAAGACCTTGAAAATACACCAATTTGTATGCTAACAAATACGTTCAAATAGTTGGGTAAAATCGTTTGTTGAGGCTCAAGGGCAGATTGCTTTAACAAGCGTACTACTGAAGATAAACAGAAGAAAAGCTTCAGGACCAGTTCCGGTGACCAATTCAGGAGGAGATAAGGATTTGGATCGTGAGTACGACATTGCAAAATGTTTGAAGGCCTTGATGAACAACAAATATGGTGCCGACGATGCGCTTGCCCATCAGCAAATTATTGTGGCTCTCGCAAGTTCTCTTATATCCCCAAGATTGACAACAAGAAAGCTGGTCAGTGAAATCTTGACCTTCCTCTGCGACTGGGCCCATGGTCAGGGACATCAAAAGGTCCTTCAAGCAATGGATCAGGTTAAGAATATGCAAGGCGAGACCGGCCGATTTGATGCTTGGATGCGAGTAGTGGAAGTCAGTATTGACGGAAGAGGCAAAATGGGCAGTCTTGTCGGCGCAAGTGAAGAGTTCAGAAGCGGCGGCATAGGAATGGAGAACCTCCTCATGGAGTACGCTCTAGCAACCATGTTTTTGATCAACATGTTTGTCGATGCTTCAGAAGATGACTTGCAGCTTCGATGTCATATCAGAGCACAGTTCACCGCTTGCGGTATCAAACGACTACTTGCTAAGATGGAAGGATTCCAGTATGAGGCCATTGACAGACAAGTGGAACGGTATAAGGAGAATGAAGGGATTGACTACGAAGATCTGCTTCAACGAGAAAGCAGTAGTATGAAAGATAGCATTGAAGGGGAGGTCAGTGATATGAACGACCTTATTCAGATCACCAATGCTATCATTAGTAGGCTACGGGGAGATCGTTCCCAGGACTTCTTCATTTCTGCTATGCAACACATGCTTCTTATCAGGGAGAACTCTGGTGAAGATAGCCACCGAATGTTCCAATTAGTTGATGCAATGCTCAGCTATGTCGCCATGGACAGAAGGCTTCCAGATATGGACCTGAAGCAGAGTCTCAATTTTACCGTCCAGAGCCTCCTTGACAAGCTACACACCGACGCTGAAGCAAGAAGAGCGTTCGACGAGTCCTTAGAAGCTCGCCAGATTGCAGAAGCTGCAATTGCCGAACGAGATGAGATGAAAGCTCGAATCGAAATGGGCGCAGATGGCCTAGTCAAGAAGCTCCAGAAGCAAATCGAGGAACAAGAAGCGGTAATCAGTCTTCAAACCCGGCAAAATGAGTCCTTGAAAAGTGAATTGGCCGAGGTCCAAAGAATTCGAGGACAAGAGCTTCAGAGGAACGAACTTGAAACTCGGGAGCTGTACCTCATGCTTCGAGATGCACAGGATGTTGCAGCCTCGAAGTCTAAGATGACTGGTACTGGCGGTGATATGGGCACAATGGATCCTACCCAGATGAATGGTATTCTTGACCGGGAAAAACTCATGAGCCGTCTTGAACGGCAGCTCGATCGAGCAAAGACTCAGTTCAAATTGGAAGGAAAAGTTTGGCCTCAGAATGGTCCATCAGACAGGCTTCGAGAACTGCGCGAACTGATGGAGGGAGATTTCTCTCATGATCCCGAAATTGATGAGGAGACCAAGCGCAACTTCACTCATAGTACCTTTGGTACTGTTTCGAGGAAGCGTAGCCAGGCCCTTAAAGCTAACGCTTCTAACGACGAGGATAGCCGGGATGGAGAGCTTGATGACCTAGAGGAAGAGGGCGAGGAGGCTGTATTTGAGAAGGGCCGGTTGGTAGAGATCAGAAGACCAAAACTCGACCCTGAGCGTGCCACAGCACTTCTGGGTGAAATTGCTTCCAAAGCTGGAGAAAGAGAAAAGGAGTTAGAAAAAGAAAAGGAGAAAGAAAAGGAAGAGCAAGAAAAGACCTCGACACCTCCCGCCGAAGCTCCTGAGAATAAAGAGACAAAAGATGCTGGATCCGATAACCTTGCCGGCTTCAATGGCCCTCCACCACCACCGCCACCTCCTCTCCCTGGATTCGGAGGGGGGGCACCGCCTCCACCACCTCCCCCCATGCCTGGCTTCGCTGGTGGTGCTCCTCCACCGCCCCCTCCTCCCATGCCCGGCTTTGGAAATGGTGCACCACCACCTCCTCCCCCCATGCCAGGAGTTGGAATGCCCCCTCCACCGCCCCCAATGCCTGGCGGCTGGAAGAAAACTTATCTCCCAGCTGGACAAGTTTCTACAGTACCTACGGTTAGCTTACCATTTATACGCCCCAAGAAGAAGCTCAAGGCACTTCATTGGGATAAAGTTGATACCCCTCAAGTGACCGTCTGGGCTGCTCATGCACCTACACATGAGGCCAAGGAGCAGAAATACACTGATCTTGCAAAGAAGGGAGTTCTCGATGAAGTCGAGAGATTGTTCATGGCCAAGGAAACGAAAGTACTGGGTCGTTCTGGGAAGAAAACTGATAAGAAACAAATCATCAGTAGTGAATTGGTTCGCCAATTTGAAATTGCATTCGCCAAGTTTTCTCAAATCTCCGCAGACGAGCTCGTTCGCAAGATCATTCATTGTGATACCGAAATATTAAATAACACCGTTGTCATGGAATTCTTACAGAAGGACGAGCTGTGCAATATTCCTGAAAATACATCAAAGTTAATGGCCCCCTATAGCAAGGATTGGACCGGGCCCGGAGCTGCTACAACAGAACGAGAGCAGGACCCTTCAGAGCTTACTCGTCAGGATCAAATCTATCTCCAGACTGCCTTTGAGTTGAACCATTATTGGAAATCAAGAATGCGTGCACTTAACTTGACTCTCTCTTTTGAGCAAGAATACGATCATATATCCTCCAGTCTACGGGAGATAGGACAAGTCTGCGAGTCGTTACGTGATTCCGTCTCCTTGATGAACGTGCTTGGACTCATTCTTGATATTGGTAATTTCATGAATGATTCCAATAAACAGGCCGCTGGTTTCAAACTCAGCTCTCTGGCTCGTCTTGGTATGGTCAAAGATGACAAGAATGAGTCCACCTTTGCAGATCTTGTTGAACGTATTGTTCGAAATCAATATCCAGAGTGGGAAGGGTTCACCGACGATATTGATGGCGTAATAAGGGTCCAGAAGGCCAATGTTGATCAGCTCCAGCTTGATGCAAAGAAATATATTGACAACATCAAGAACGTGCAAATGAGTTTGGATTCTGGCAACCTGAGCGACCCAAAGAAGTTCCACCCTCAAGATAGGGTAAATCTGATCGTCCAAAGATGCATGAAAGACGCGAGGAGAAAGGCAGAGCAGCTGCAGCTCTACCTTGATGAAACAAGCCAGACATACGACGATATCATGGTGTTTTACGGTGAAGACCATACAGATGAAAATTCAAGACGAGAATTCTTCCCCAAACTTGCGACCTTCTTGCAGGAGTGGCGCGTAAGTGCACTGAATCCTTTTTTCTTTTTTTTTTTTTAATTTTATTTACTCGGCGTGTATACTGACTTTAATATCGTAGAAATCCAAGGAGAAAAACATCTCTTGGGAAGAAAATAGGCGGCGCACAGAAGCCTCGCTTGCTCGCAAGAGGGCCAAGCCCGGTCTTACAAACGGTATAGATTCTGGTACCCCAACTTCGCCCACGTCAAATGGTGCAATGGATTCACTGCTGGAGAAGCTGCGTGCTGCTGCTCCCCAGGCTAGAGATCAGCGTGACAGAAGACGTCGCGCAAGATTGAAGGAGAGGCATCAAGTACGACTTGCTTCTGGACAACATGTACCCGGTATAACGGTGAACGACGGCCAGGATAGCGAGAGCACTACGACTGCGGAACCGGCCGCAACCCCCAAAGATGATACCCCACAAAATTCGCAATCTAAGGGTGAGGACATCGCGGATCGCGCCGCCAGCATGTTACAGGGACTCAGGAGTGACAATGACTCTGAGGGCAGCCGTTCCAGGCGACGAAATAGCGCTGAAGAAGCCCGGAGAAGCAGGCGGATGCGACGACGTGCCCCGGCAACAACGTCGGCTTCTACCAATAAGGAATCTAATGATGGCTCTTCACTGCTCTCAGCGCACCCTGAACCTGAGGGTGGAAGCAGACGAGACTCTTCAGGGAGCACTGCATCCGCGGTGTTGGGCGAAACAACCAATGAACCCGAAACTTCACCGCGGCCTTTACCAGCAACTCCCGGTGGCACAGATTCCAATCCTATCACGATATCCGACTAAACATATAGAGCTTATGCATCTGAACTTCTTTTTATCTTTTCTTATTATTCAACATCTCCCCTGCTGAATTTAGCGCGCTCTATCCCCCTTATTATCCGTTATCAACCCCTTAATATGCGTTCTTTACAGAAGCATTACCGTCATCGTAATCTTCCATTTCGACATCCATTTCACTATATACACCATTTCACCCATGTTAGAGCTCGTTTCCTTCTACTTCCTCACCTTCACCTTTTAACCATGATCCAATGTATGAGATTTTTCTTCTTTCCGTCCTTGCCTTTTTACCCTCATGCATTTGGTACCCGTGTTACAGGATTTTGATGTCTGGCGACTTTCCTTCTGTTGGACTTGGGCCGGATCTCCTTTTTATGATCTTCTTACAGTCTCGTCTCATTCTCCCTTGCCTTCTTCACCAACTGTATCTCCTTTTCTAATTTTCTTGCTGAGACGTGTTAGTTAACATTATCGAGCGGTTGGACCTCTCGCAGCCTCCTAATACTATCACTAGAATTTTCTAGTTTTCTCCTTTCCCTAGATTTTGAGCTCTCTTCGGGGCTTCACAGTCCCAGTTCCCCTTGCATATTTACTTGCTGCGCTCATAGCACTGTGATTTCATTGACAACAGTGACTTTATACCCTTATGTCCAGCCAAGTGAGACACGGCAACACGGGAAACCCCAGGCCCATTAAGAGTTGGAGGAGGACGACAGGATTACCTGCGACTGCCAGCCCTGTCGCGCGATCCTACAATAAATATATGGAACGGGCTCCCGTCTATATAAAATATCCACTCCTATCTCTCCCTGGTGCCGGATGCTTTGGCAAACAGAAGTGTTATGAAGAATATACCCGCGAGCTTTGAACGCGATGCATCCAAGCATCCTGGCCGTACTATGGCTGTTTCTTCCCATGCTCTGCCTCAGTGCGAGAGACGCAACGGGTCTGCCTGTCCCCAAGTCCAGACTCGCAAGCGTAATCAAGGACTGTACTCCCCAGCAAACAAAAACGCTAGTTACAGCGATAGAAAGCGCTCGCGTGTCTGTTGGTCCTACTTTTCCTCCGATAGATCCATGGTTCGACTGACCAGGCTTGCCTAACGCCTCCTGAACAGCTCACCGCTACAGCCTTTCGGTTGCGAGTTCTAATTGACTTCCTCGAGAGGTCTCCGAAGCGAGGAGACCGGATCTCTGGAGATGAAAAGGTGGTTCTGCGCACCTTTGAGACGGTCTTTGGCCAGGTCTGGTGGGCGCCGACGAACGATGAAGCCAAAATGCAAAACAAGCAGGCAATCATTCGTGTGAAGAACTTTGCCTGTAAGGACTGAGTCTCCTCGCCAGCTATGCGTTTTTCTTTCCCTTGTCGTCCCATTTGGCTTCTGAAGTTGATTGCTTGCTGATATTGCCTACGCTTAGACATCACGGCGGCGGTGTCCAGGAGACTATCACTACAAGACACCACCCGCCATGAAATGTGGTGCGGCGAGAGAGCCATGCTGCGCGATCGGTCAAGATTTCCCGCCGCTCCCACCAGATATTCGTATGTTTCTTTCGATGACGCTTTTATAGCTGGCTCCTGGCCGTGTGGCATACCTTCTGACTCTACTACTCCACGGACAGATCCTAGCGAAGATGTTACGTTTGACAACCGTCCTCTAGAAGACTTGGGCCAGACATTCATCTTAGGCGACGGCTGCTCAGATCAAGTCACTGCCTATACATACTGCGCTCCCCCGATTAACGCATTCATGGTAATCACTATAATATGCCCGGAAATGTGGATGAAGTGTAGGCACGAGAGGTGTTCCCAACCGCTGCAGATGTTTCGCGACAAAACATTCCTTACGGGCAGTTCTCTGGACAAGCTGTTTCTTGACAGTACCTTCGCTTCCCTCATTCTTCATGAGATGTCTCATGCGCGAGTTATTCATCCCGGCACTGGAGGAGACCGTGACGGAACAGGTAAGGAGCCATAGCTTTCAATGAAGCCTCCTAGACTCTAGCAAAAGATAACTTACATTGTTTTGACAGATGATTACGCTTACGGTTGGGATAAATCGATACGACTCCCGGTACGCGAGAGATGGAAGAATGCAGGCAAGCCATCCATATACCTCCCTACTTATTTCTTATCTGTGCACCAGAGATTGTGGTTCTTGCTCTGACTTGCATTCCTTCTCACCAATATAGATAGCTTTGCAATATTTGCACTTGGTAAATGCAACCCCGTATCCATTCATAAAAACAGCGACCCCATTGCTAACAGGACATCTCAAGCAATGTATCTACACAAAAACGACTGGTCCACCGGGCTGGCCAAACCCGTTCCCCCAGACGGTGGCTTGGGAGATCCCGACGGTGTCTAGTGGGAGGATTGAGAGACGAGCGGGTAAAATGAAGAGGTGTCAAGGGAGGCCCAGAACAGCACGAGTAAGATGTTGAAAACGATTCCATATCCCGAGTAAATCAATGTACTCTCCTTTCCCAATGGCCTGTTTTCCTCATAATCGGCTGGCACGGCATGATAGAATTGATCTGGGCCTTTTCTCTAGCATCCATCAGGAATGATATGACTACATAGGGCTGAAGGTCTCACCAGCTCCATTTCCTCGCGGCATCTCGGACACTTCCTAGCCGATTATTTCGTCACTTAACACCATGGTTAAATTAACTAGTTACCCGGTTATATAACTAGTTAGTGATCATTCGGAGATCGGAGATGGACAGCAGGATTGACACCTGAGTCACCGTCTTCCACCAAACATGGCTAAGGCGGGCAGCCTGCTCGTCAGGGTTATTATGCCTTGGGAAACACAGCTGAGCAAGGTTACATTGTAGCGTAAGGCAAGGAATGACTTCCCTGTCAGACATTCATGCCTGCACAGGACGTAGAATCAAACCCTTATTAGTTATCAGGCACCAGCCCCATCGCCCACTTCAGCCCTAAGTCAACACTCCAGGCTGCTCCCCCCCAGCCATCAACTAGCCACACAAGGCTCACGATGGAGCGAATCGTTATTGGCCATGATGAGTCAATCCCAGGTAAATATCCAAAACACACTGGAACACTCGTGGCCTCTCCTCAAACTCTCTGATCCACGCTCCTCCTCGTGGCATGCCGGGGGATAGCAGGGGTGGGAAGAAGACGGACCCGGTCAGGTTGATACCCGCTTCCATTTCAGCTGTCTGCTGCGGCTCGAGGCCTGCATATATACAAGCCCTCTAACCGATGATCGCGTGTTTCGAAATGCATTATTAATATTGACGAGTTCATGTCTGAATGGACGGTCATGTTCAGACCCTGCATGTCATTATTCCATCTCTTGATTAACTATCCCGACTCCAGTGCCTTCGGCCAGGCACCATGTGTTTCCACGGATCAACAGACGAACGCACAAAGATGGTTTCCTGCACGATCAGCCTCCTTCCTTTGCCGTTTCGTTATATTCATTGTAACCTGATCCGCTGCTGTGTCTGCACAAGGACAGGTGGCTAAATATAGGAACTGTACGGACTTTTTAACCGAGACGGTATATTGGAGACTCTGATAATGTCAATAATTAACCATCGTTTATCGCCGTTGACGCTCTTAATGTCTGCAAATCTGCAATGTAACTGCAAACGTATAATATTATATATATATCTTTTTCTCCGGATAGATTTGGATAAAAGAGGGTGAGAAAGAGGAGGCAATGCGCAGCCCGTATGCAGCGGCTGACAGCTTGGTTCCTTGCATTCTCACCCTCCCTTTCTCTCACCTTGCAGTGCTGCAAGTCTGGTTGACGGTAAACAGTGCAGCATACTTGTTTACTTATGTGCCCCGTAACGGGAGCAGAATAGTTAACTAGTTACCCTCTTGCTCCCGCCTGTCGTTGCAGGGAACAAAGGGGCGGTTGGCTCCCTTTCGAGACAAAAAGGAATGAGGGATCTTCCGGCAGGATGTTTCCAGTGTAACGGTGGTTGAACCCAATCTTCCTTTGCTTTCATTACTTTTTCTCCCTTTTTTCATTCGCCTATAGATAGTTAGTTATTTTATTTTTAGGCATCATGCGTGGTCAATCGTACCTAGCTAGTGGCCATGATCTCGGGTCAGCAGATCTGATAGCGGCCCTGCGGTCATATCGAGGCCAACATACGTTATACGGAACGTTATATCCACATACATAACTACCTTATACATCGAGTGCTTGGATGCAAGTACCCGCTCCTGGACAGGGGCATCCGTAAAAGGAACCCGGCATAATTCGCGATATCTGTGCCATCCAAAACGGCGAGACATCTGTCCGCGCTCGATTCCGTGTGACAGTTCAGGCTGCAGAAGAGGGCAGAAAATTCGGAGAAAGGGCTGAATCAAGTAACTGGTGCTGGGTCGTCCATTTTCCAGCGCCTTTCTCTTGTATAACTAACATTCAGACAGCCATCTTGGAGGGGGGGCCGGTCGTTGTAAGAGGGCCAAAAATATAGAGATTGCGTGCAACCACCGTAGAGGGCCATCATGACGCCTTGTACTCCATGTCCAGCAAGCCTTCTGATTTCACACTGTCAAGCAATTCGATGGGACCCCTTTTCCTTCTCTAAAAAAACACGTTTATTAGCTGTTCTTGCTATTGCTGCTGTGCTATGCTGCGTTGATATGCTGGGGGATCGCTTGCAGGGGATGAGAAATCTAAATTTATCTCCCTCTGAACGGACAGCGGACATCCCAACCTGCAGGCATAGTAGTCATGCCATGTCTCCTGCGATAGTTACTCTGATCAGTCATCGAGGGTCGCTACTCTTCCCATTTTCAGCCATGTCGTCTGGACCGTCTCACGCTCGATGTCATAATGAGCAATAGTTAACCACTTATCACCACCACGGCCACCACGATAACCGGCTCCTTTCCGACACAGCCGCAGTAAGAAAAAAAGCCTCCTGCACACAGTAGTTATGCTGATTAGCTGGCTGGCCGTCTTTTCCTCCGACCTAACTAGCAGTGAGTCAGTCGGTGCCCGTCAAGGC